CTGGGACTGAGGTGAACAGCGTTGGGGTGGCTCTCATCCAGACGCTGCAGCATCTCCTGGCACTCAGTGTAAGAGAATGGGAAGCAGAAGGAGAAGTAGGTGGTGGCCCCTCGAGCCTCCAGCAGCCGGTGGGTGAAGGTAAGGATGAACTGGTTATCTACAATCTAGAAACCAGCAGATGAAAAGAAGAAGAAAGAAGCATGTTATTAGTAAGCTAGCCCAGTCGACAGCACTTTCCTGATGCACACAGAGTGGATCTACCTTAGTTGTGGGTCTGTCTCGAACTCTCTCCCATCGGTTTTTGCAAGGCAACGTGAGTACAAGAGGAGCCATGCCCTGGCTGTAWAGCTTCCTCTGATTATTCATGTTCATCACGTTAATCTTCAGCAATTTCCCAGGCAGCGCGCCCCTCACGCTGAAATAAAACCACGATCTGACAGACATCAAGCCAAGCAGCGACGGTTATTTATAGCGCACGGTCTAAATGATGAAGAAAAAAAAGAATTAATAAATAAACAAGTATTAGTGACCTGTTTCCATTCTCGTGCTCTGTGCCAGCACAGTCAGGCTGGGTCCACACGTTGAACTCGTAGTCAGGGGTAAGATGTGACCCCYAGGTGCAGCTCCCACCCGAGGCCGTGTCCGAGGTGGGGCTTGAGCTGCCCTTCTCCACCTTCTCCACCCGCGCTAGGTTTCCTGAGTCAAACTTGGAGCTGAACACAACGTTCCCAAAGCGAGCCTCCATCGCTCGGACGACCACTCACTTTTCTCCTCTCAGGGTGGATTATGAAGTGCCAGTCAGATACCTGACACCACTGAGCTGTCCGAGCAGGGAAATGTGTTGTTATGTCACGATATAAAACAAACAAAATGTACGTCTAGAATCWGTTCACATTAGATACATGGCATTTTTTATATCTAAGGATGAACATTTTGCACAATTAGTGCGTTTGTTTCCATTTTAATATAAGAACAAGAGGCAGCAAATTAAATGTATTAAATGCAATTTTTCATATTTTCCATTTTGATACATTCAACCCCATTTCCTCCATGGCACCAGCTGTTTACCTCGAGGCACCTGACCTCTAATCRGTCAGCAATGTTTTTAAATTAATATCACAGATTTAGTTTCAAACACAAGAGCCAAATAAATTGTTTTTCAAACCAAACTGTAGCACAYAACTCTGATTATGGTCCTAAACAGAAAAAACAAATGAATCATTACTCTCGTCTTTTTTATTTTTTTTGGACATTTTAAAAAAAATCAAACGCCTATTTACTTGAAATAACATGACAGCTGGGCCACAGTATATAATACTGTATTCATCTGCAACATAAAAATAGACCTGGAAAAATACAGAAGCCTTTTTGTTCACTGGTTTCTGATCATTAGCTACAATTACAACTAATATTACTCAAACACACAAATTATTTATATACATATACAAACAAATACACTTGTCTTTTTTGATACCATAAAAAATGACCAGACTGCTGACA